GTTACAGGAATGACAAATGGGTGCTGACGCTGGGCCGGACTGCGCTCCAGATGGGATGAGAGTGTGTTTACAGTGCCATAGTGGGTCTACGTCTGCTGACACACTAGCTCAGATCAAATCAACTCCCAGGTAGAGCTTATGCATTATGCAGATAGATGCTACAGATGCATAGTGCATAATATTTAATCTGGGAAGCCACCATTATAACTTGAGGGGGGCCGTTTTTACACTTATTACTACTTTTTGTGAAATAATCATTAGATTATAAAAGTTTTGGCCACCATGCAAAACCAAAATTGAATCGAATGACCTCTTTCCACCTATTATTACATCTTTAATACCCCATGGCGAAGATCAAGTTTTTAACAGTGTCTATGTAATTGAAAGTTTCCATGGAGGGATAGTTCACCTAAAAATGAAAATTCTGTCATTAATCATTCACCCTCATGTTGTTCCAAACCCATAAGACCTTCTTTGGAACACAAATTAAGATATTTTTATGAAATCTGAGAGCTTTCTGACCCTGCATAGACAGCAACACAACTACCACGTTTGTGGTACTGTAGTGAACACACGTCGAATAGGTTGTTTGCACGTGACGTCACTGATGATGCGCGCAATGCAGCTGGAGGGCAGGAAGTGATTTTTCTCCATAGAAATCACTAGCAGAAACTCAAAATGCCAGTGTTTTGCGTTGTTTATGGATGCTTAAATTGGCCAAACCGAGAAACCACAAGAAGCTTTTATCGTGTACGAAAATGTGTTGTTCATAAGTGGGGGAAAGTCAAGAAATTGATTGAAAAACGCTGGAAAAAGTGGCTTGTAAACCTGTGTCTGCAGTCGGGAGGAGCGAAGCTCGTGTGATAATGCTCATGCGTGCAAATAGTTATTATAGGATATAATAATATATTAAGATATTTATAAAGATATAAATAGATTGGGCTGCCACCTCTCACGCATTGTGACAGTCAGAATTTACTCAGTGCTAAATGCCACACGTAGACACGTAAATAATATATTATTTGCCGTTCAGAGAGCTTCACTGATTATAAAGGAACATCGTGAGATTGTGATCAATTGAAGTCAGTGACAGCTTTTTAGTGATTATATGGAAGCGCTATTTGCTCGCTTTCTAGGCTATAATCAATTCAGAATTTAAATAAAAGTTTTGTTTTACGTGCTGCTAACAGGACCAACAGCCACAAACCCTGTACATGCAGCAAAGTTTCAGGAGTG